CTGTCACAGATCATACCGTAATCCTGTCCTCACCGCTCATCACCGCCAAAACCGACCAAAATGGGCAACTCAGCATCGAAATTGAGCTTATCGACAATGGAGACCTGTGCTGTTATCTCGTGAAAGCCGATATTGTGTTTCAACAGTCGATGACAGAGTGAGAGTATGGCGAGGGCGTGGCGAAATGTTTTCCAATGAGTGTATTGTTGAAAGATATTCGTGGGCTGGTCCAAGCATCATGGTGTGGGGTGCAATCGGTCTGAACAGTTAGTTGACACCGTGGTGTTCCAGAATCTTGGTCCAGGATGAGGAAATGACATGACAGCTGCGCGCTATATTGATAAAATCATAAAACCCCACGTTGTACGACATTTTGGACGTTACAGAAATCACATCTTCCAGCAAACATCGGTCGTGCCCACACTGCCAGAGCAACATTGGACTTCCCAAGACAACATGGCATCCAAACCCTACAATAGCCTGCGAATTTAAGTCCAGTAGAACACCTTTGGGACGAACTTCAAAAAAGACTGAATTGCCTCCAACCAAGCCCGACAACTGCGGCTGGACTCGATCAGGCATTTCGCAGAGTATAGACCCAAGTGCCTATGGCCTTCATCGACCGGCTAATTCATTCCATGTACAGACGATGTAACGATTTCATCGATGCCCATAGAGGCCTCTCACGATACTGACTTTAGGGTATCTTAATGGTGCCATTTTGGGTGATTTGTTTTGTGTGAACTCCAAATGTGATTCCCGAAAATGTGTTAACCATAATTGTCAAGTTTGAACTCAGTCCTCCTATTTGATTGTTAATTAGAGTGAATTAAAAGTGTGTGCTTTAAGAAACCCCTATCAGTGTGACATTTCTTTTGTGGTTCAGTGTATATATAACTACACTTAAAAAAAACAAAACGCGTAAGTCATTTTTAGAAGAATTTATTGCGCTAGTTTAAGAACAATTATGTAATTTCAAGGTCCGCTACCTTGCCAATTCTAACGTCAACCAATTCCCGATAACCAGATCTAAACCCGACAAACCACCCATGGGATGAACTCGATCGACGTGTACGTCAACGTCAAAACACGCCTCAGACCCTTCCACAACTGGCCATCGCATTGCAGGACTTATCCAGTGTGTACCGAGACGGTACTGAGCAGTAATTGCTGCCACTGGTGGCCATACAAAGTACTAACTTTGACACCATCTTAAACAGAAACACATTCAACAATATAGACGAAACATGACAATGTTGTGTTGGCGAACTCTTTGTCTATAGACGTGTGAATTTTCACCTTTTTTACCATTGGAATTACATGAAATAATTGCTCTTAAACTAACGCAAGAAATTCTTCTAAAAATGGCTTCTTTTTTAAGTGTGTACTTCCCGCTGTATTAGTCACTTCTCTACTATCAAAGTCAAGAAATCTAGTGCCTGCACGGGGCAACTAACTTGTTTATCCTTAACTCCAGTTGACGAAGTGCTCTACACAGCGGCGCTATCCCCCTAATGCACTCTTTAATGCTACAAGCGATGACTAGGCCATGTTCCAGATAAACCACTATCGTAACATACATACTTGCACTTCATCATACTATCTCCACCTGCCTACAGGGCAGCAGGTTTTCAAACAAAATGTAGGCTTGTCATATCCAGTGTGGGACTCCATGTATATTCTATTTTTGGTGACAAAGCCAAGCGAGCCTGTATGGCTCAGTACACACAAGTATGGGTTGTTGGAGACCGATTCGACTTATATGAACTTCTTCATCCTAGGGATTGGATTAATGTCGACTTCGTTATTGAAGGGTGTATACTGCCCCCACCCCTATCCTCCAAATCAGTTTTAATTACTGAAAATATCTTACCTCGTGTAATTTCATTCACAACAACTTCATGCGCCTAGCGACGAACATGAATAGGCTAAGTTCTAGTAAGTTTGTTTGTGTCCCATTCAATCCACACACTCAGTGTGAGCCGCCCAAAACGCCAGAATACACAACCATCCCAGCCACTGAGGAATCCACAAAAATGAAATTTCAACAACTGGTAGTCTAGATCACGTACTCACGTACTTTGTGTACCCCTCTGAGAAGCATAAACTGGCACGGCTCCCATGACCGAAAGTTATGATTACACGCCTTTAACACTGGCGATTTCGGCTCAAGGCAAGAAGTACTAGAGGGTCTATGTACTGAGAATGTGTAATTTCAAATGTAACACGTTGTGCAAACAACAACCTCTTTTTTGCGTCTACCATGATGGCGATATTAAGCGTGAGGTCACGTGTTGTTCCTTGGTTGACAAAACGAAGGCACAACAGTTTTGCCAGTGGAGTGTCACAAGGCCCAATCCTGTTCACTGTATATACCATACCCGTTGGTGATATAGCCCGAGCCCACAATCTCAGTTATCATCTTTACTATGCTGATGACACGCAGCTATGTCTTGGATTCAAGCCACTAACTACATCTTCTGTACAGAATACCCTGCAGACAATAACAAATTGCACAGCTGAGATCAAATGTTGGATGAACAGTAATTTTCTGAAATTAAACGATGACAAAACTGAGATTCTCATCATCAGCTCCAAACAAACAAAATCAAAGTTCAAGGTCCCTGGAGTTCAAATTGGAGACACGTTTGTTCAACCAGAAAGCCATGCTCGAAATGGGCGTGCTCCATTCTCCAGGAACTAGCTATATAGTCAACCTCCACAAGCCTGGAAGGTCACTCAGATCAGCTAGTAACCAAAGCTTAGATGTTCCATTTGTCCGAACCACAACATACGGGGACAGATAATTTAGCAGAGCGGGTGTTGTTCTCTGGAATTGATTACCTGAAAATGTCAGAAAATCGGAAAATATCAACAGTTTCCGAACCATCCTCTTCAAAAGAGCATTCGACTAAGCGCACATGAGCAGGACTCTGGATATGTAGCGCTATACAAATGTCTAATTTGATTTTATTTTGATTTGAACTGTCCATATACCAATCCTTTGTTTGAATACACGATTACAGGTAAAATGTGAAAATGATAATTATTTTTTTTGTTCCATATATTCAGAACTCGTATATTGTACTTCCGCTGTGAGTAAATTTAATTGTAAATGACAATCCAACATGTCCTATTTTTCGGGCAGGATCCAGACTCTTAACATAATCGCGCCATTTTTCAAAACATAATGGACATTGTCGTAGTGCCGTCAGAGAACAGTCTCATAGCCTGTTGTCTGAACTAACACGAAAGAGCAGACCGACGTAGACGTCAAAATTAACTAAGTGTTATGCTTTTATCTAACTTTTAAAAGTTCCTTTATTAAATGTTGACGCTTTTGTGAAGTCGAAATCGCTATGTTTCTAACAAATTGACATATACATATCGCGTGATTTTGATTAGCTTCATGGGGGACATCTTGTCGCATGAAACCTTTTTCCTGTTTCGTTCTGTCACAGCGGCTGAGTCAGGACAGTCATTGTCCGATACATATTTAATTCCCAAAGCCATATACTTCATAGCCAAGGCATGTATAACTTGAATGCAATTATTTGTTTGATGGTAATCTCCATTCTTAAACTCCTCACCACTGCATTGTATACTGACCCGTCAATCTACCCGTGTCACTTTCATTAATTACTGTTATTTATAGCATGGTATTCATAACCTCTCGCTCTTAATTTTTCACAGTTTCAATAATAGATTCCTTCAATGCGGCACATCGTTTGGGCATGTCAGAAATAAGCTGTTTGCCATGTATTTTAAGGTGAAGATTCAAAAGTTATTCTCAATATTTACCATCAAAAGGACAAGAAGTGAACTCAAAAACCAAAGAAAATTCGTCAAAAGCAATAATGATGACATGCTTGTCTACTAAACAGCTTGATCAGTTTTAAACCTACAAGCACCCTTGGCCTATGTGTTCAGCAAATTGTTCCATTGCTTGCCATGTAACGTCAGTACAGCACACGGCAACACGACAGTACAATCGCGTTTTAAGGTACATGTTCGCAATGCGTGGGAAAGGTTTGTAATTATATCAAATATAAGGACAAATATAATGTCCCAAGAAACGTTGGAGACAGGAAACTTATCAGCGTATTGCAATAGTCATATTTTCCGTGGTGTACTGAAATTGTTTCCATTATCTGGAATATACATCTTTTTAAAGCAATAAAAATGTATTGAAAAAGAGAACGTCTAATGTGTAACTTCCGCCGTCTAACGGGGCACTACAGAAACATAAACAGAAGCAGGGTGATGACAGAGAAAGACAACCTCCTGCTGGTGAAACAGCAATGGCATCTCTGTCTTAGTATTAACAAAACTCCTGAATATCTCACATGTTCCTCATTCGTTCTTTTCAATCCTTACAAACTGGCTTCACTACGAAACTGTTCCTTGATGGCTGTGACTCCCAAATACTGAGTTAGACAATACAACTAGATTATCTGCTACAGGTCAAACAAGGGTGCACCACTGATACAACTTGGTGAGGTAAAGGATCTTAAAGGGTGAAACGTTGTTTCTTTCCCTACAGTTATGTAACCTATACATAGTGCAGTTAGTTCAACAACGACTAGTTACTACACAGGCATCAACTTCCACCACACACACCAGAGGCGTTCTGCTTTCCGTGCCGATACTTGGAGGTGATTACATATTAGTCTAGGTGTTGGTGAGGAAAACTGGACTCATGACTTGTAACTGGTCTCACTTATAGTAGCTGACAAAACGGTAAACCTTTAACAATAGAAAATAGATAATTGTGTCGCTGGTTCTTGAACATAGCGTATCTTAGATATCAGATTTTATAAAATAGGATTAGTTAAGGAATGATTGGATAAGGTTGTTTGTTACTTTATTATTATTTTAGGGCAATATGAACATGTCTATTTTTCTGATGTATTTTGGGAGGTTAGGGCACAGAAGTCACCATGTTAGCTTGTGGAGTGGTATAAATTTGTATATTCAAAGAACTTCTTTTTTTAATATAGGATGCTTGCCGGGCGGAGAGTTCGAGTGGAGCATGCTCGTCCTTATTTCAGTAGGTCTGCGACATCAACACTGCCTTTCCATCTCATAGCATCTCGGTTACGACGAAATTCAAAATTAAGGTCAAGGCAGCGATCAAGGTCGCCTAGGAACGCGCGAGCACGAGACCACGGAATACTGAGGTAATGCTAATGTTTCTTTCTCTCACCTTTGCCTTCACATTGTTGAAATTCAGTTAAGTATATCAATTGGTCTGAGGTTAATAACAATTGAATGGAAATAATGTTATCAGCAAATACATATTCCAAAGCTTTTGTTCAAGGTCATCATGCAAATGCAACAGTGAAAGATTCCGGTGTTCTAGTACTTCCTCAACTTCAAGGACACCTTCCCGCTCAGAGACACAACGCAGGTACTGTAGATAAAACATTTGATTGCTCAGTTAACATTGATAATTAGTTACCACAAAAACAATTTAAGGGTCGATTCGTTGATTCATGTTTTTGACTGTGAAATTCCTAGTTATAGCTAACATGTCAAAGTTAGCATAACCGGACAACGAATCTATTTTACGATTGTATTCACTGACGCATATTGGACACTGCATATGAGAATCACCCTTTCAAAAAATAGGCATGAATGGCTTTCCATGTTCCCTCGGTAATGCTTAGGTCTTGTTGATAATTTATTGTTACCCCTGAATCAGCATGTATCCGTCAATATCCGCACTACGTGTACACACAAATGTCTATGACACATGTGCGTATCATGTACTTGTCACATAGCGAGAGTTGTGTAACATTCTCAAAATATATCAATTTCAGGCACGATTCATCCGACAAAAGAAGAAAACGTTACAAGCACCACTGTAGTCGAAAGAAACGAAATCCATCAAGATCACGTTCCAGTTCCAGTTCCAGTTCCAGTTCCAGTTCCAGCTCTCGTTCCAGCTCTCGTTCCAGTTCTAGTTGCTGGAGCAGCTCCAGATCTCAGCCCACGTCCAGACATAGATCGAAGCGTTCAGACACCGATGTATCACTGAAGTACTTCAAATGCAAGGGTACACAACGGAATAACAAAAGCCCACTAAGTTCAAGCACTAAGATAGGTGATATGTCAACTGGGATCGAGAGCTGGACAACAGATGACGATTTACCCAACATTGAACTATACGACGCACCACTCAGCGGCAGGAACATTGCTACTTCAGAGATTACAATAAGTGAAAATACAATGTCCCAACCTCAACCTACCCTAGTATCATCAGCCGTGATGAGTTCTACATCAGCTGACACAAACATCGGCATAGACAGGACAGAACGTTCCTTACATGGACAAACCAGTCAGTGTCATATTCAGAGAGCCTCACAAAACATATCAAATACACAAAATGAACAATTGTTAAACGCTTCGAATCAAAACGAAACGGTGTTGTGTTCTCATGTACCAGTAACCATTGAAACTCAACCACCCCAACAAACATCAATATCCTATCCAACGTGAATAGCACAGGCGGTCAGGATGATTCTCATCAGCAAATCTAAACACACGCGTGTGGAAGACGCCCCTATCATCTTCACAGAGGGGGTTCTCCTAAAAAGGACGAAAGTGTAGCTGTTCAAAGCCGGTGCCAATGCCAATGAGATGTTTGAAGTAGAAGAGTGTTCTTTGTATTAGATAATTCCCGTGTGAAAATGAACTACACCACAGTAGTTTGTGTTTGAACACTGACATGCAGATTGCCACGTTGGTTTGTTTTAGAACATTCAGTACACGAAAAACACGCTGCATATTTATCTGTGTATTAAACTGAATTGATCTCTGCTACTAGTTCTGACTACGTGGAAACAGCTTCCACATGTCATGCTCACTTTGCTGGCTTTGTAAACATGTTATGTATTACTGCTGTGGTTGATGGGTATTTATACTGCTGGTGTGTATCTCCCTTTCATTAAGAGTGTAGCCTGTCTTTTGCAGCAAAGAGTTATCACGTAAATATGATGTGCCTTCAAAATAATTTCATGCCTCATATTTACGTCGTATTGGTAAACTTAAGTCGCCCACCTTCGTCACTTTTATAATAATCATGGAATCACACTGCAGGGATATATAATCATGAAATAGATAGTTCTGATGGGTCGTCAGGAGTAACTTTGACAGTCAGAGGTAGAACGGTACCAAACACGACCACAAATTGTCCATGGACCATGCAATTCCTCCATGTACATGGGTATGGAGTCATCGTTGATTCTGACACATCAGTAAAAAGTCGTCGGTTGCTCGGAGCTTTTAGTATGAGTTCCTATCCACAGTAACACCTAGGCCCCCTACTCATGCTTGGAGGCGGTTTTGTAACCAGACAAGAGGTAGAAAATATGTTCAGAAAATATGTTCACTTTGAAACAGGTTTCTGTTGACAGGAAATGGTAATGATCACACAGGGCTCCGTTCAAGTCCAGGATCGATCAGAAAAGAGGCTTAATGAAATCTAGCTGTTCAGAGTTCTGTTCTTGAGATCTGAGTTCTGATCAGACGATTCTAAGTCGTTCTTATTAGACTAGTCCACATGGTCTACGGCCACACATTGTAGCCTGACGGCAGTGGCGACTCATTTGGCACATCGCTAATGGTCTCTTGTAACGCTTGCAGATGAGTCAAGATTTAGCCTTGACTTTCGGAATATGCGGACGTGTCTGGAGGAGTGCTACTATTGTAATGCAAATGTTAACGTGAGACAACATGGAAGAATTGGGTGGGCCAGAAACGATATGGTGCTGGATCACTTTGGCTGCCAGAATGTATTGTATCAGTTGAATGGTCGCTGGACAGTACTACTGACACACATACTTAGCACGCCGTACTCGTCCACGTTGTGGTTCCCTTTCACGACAGTCGTGCATTCAGCACCAAAACATCACTGACGTACGAAGGCCAAGCACGAGTCATTCCACTGATAGGACTAATGTAGGGCGCGCTCAGGAGGCGCAAAGGTGTCAAAGGTCCAGGCAACTGCGTAAGGCGAACTGCACCAGACACTACAAAAAGAGTGGACACAATTCCCACAAACTAGAGATGGGAGTTTGATTGGGGCCACGACACGACACAAACACATTTTTAACCTTCATGCGAGCCTGATCCGTTACTGATCAAGTCGTCTCCAAATTTCATTTTTGACAACACACTTGCAATCTTGTATCTCTCCTGGTTGTTTACACAGGTACAGGGTAATCGTAATTATCAGTATATAATCGTATGAACCAGGCACTGAGTTTTGATAGTTCCGGTAATCCTAGTTTTGTTAAACTCTATACATTAACCCTTACAGTTATTTGGCGTTTTCAGTTTGTTTTCCCACCAAAAGGCGCTTTACCAAACTACCTGGTCCAACTGATGATAGAACAGCCACTTAGCCTGATTCTTACTGATATGTGTAAAGGAATGTATCTGTCACAACAGGAGAACGTATACACGATTGTACTTGTGTGTGAAGCTGCTTATACTAGTCGGGACTGATGCCGGCTTTATTGTGCCAGCTCACTGAGATACCAAGCCACAGTTTTACACGGATGACCTGCTCAGACGCAACAAACTGATCCCCAGCTGACTAACAACTTGATGAGGTCTAGGCAAGGAAACAACAAGTACCATGTTTTGACATCTTTTGGTGTGACGTGGCAGTGGATTGAAACACTGATCTCCAGCACTGCGGGCAAAGGGTCTTTCCACTCCACCACTCAGGCGTTCGAACTTCATAGTAACTTCATGTACCTGTAGTGAACTGACAATACTCATAATTAATGAGGGCTTAACCTGTGAATGAAAGTTTTGTTGACGGTTGAAGAATATATTGTGTAGTGTGTGTTGCGAATGGTGGTAGTTGCTAGTGTCTATATTTGACCTGTCCCTTAATTTGGTGGAATAGGCTATTGCCGAGTAAAAATACCATTACGGCTGTTGCGTTATGACTTCAGGTTACAATAAATGCACATGCGCATGCGCCCTGTTGAAGTGTTGTTTGTTATCCTCAGAAAAGGTGAAATATGCATGTGAATTTAACGTTCAGTTAAACACTGTTGCAGTCGACATCGAAGGGACCAACGTAAATAACTCCACTAAATATATGCAGGGATCAATCTTTTACTTCGAGACAGAACAGAAAAAAAAGAAGTGTTGGCAACAAATTCCTTGAGCAAGAAGTTAATGTCTGTAAAACCTGCCACCACAACACGGCCTATTCAGGTTGCGATTGTAGCTGCACCACATACCAGCCTACAGTGTCATTCCTGATTTTTCCATTTTCAAGGAAGGCTGAGTAATCTAGTGAATGTTTTAACGGTCACTGGACAGAACTATTAGGACAACATGCTGACACCCTTTGTTGGTTTGTTAATGTCTTTTGTCAAGAAGACAGCCTCCGTGCTCCTCGTACCCGAATCAATCCCAAGAATGATATTGCAGCAACGATCATAGACTTTGCGTCTGACTGGGCTGGCTAAACTCAAAACGACACTGGGCATAGTTTGCCTCGTTGAGTGAACAAATATTTCACAATCGTACCACAAATCCAGAAAGACCAACTTTGAAATTTCCCATCTTACCAATATTCTACTGGAAACTAAGATATTTTACAATTTAAATCTTTATATATATATATATATAATTTACTAAACATGACTCCACAGATATGCAGTTATATGATGTTTCGGTGCTAAGTAGATAGGTTAGAGTTTACTATTCTAATTGTACAGATAATCACAAAAATGCACTGTTTTTGTTTTAAACATATTTTATTCAAAAATGAAATGGATTGGGCACAAGTTATCCAACTTAGGAACGCCCTCTCCAAAAGTTACATATTTCATATTTACAATATCAAAACATTGACAACAGGGATGTGTTGAGTGAATTTACAAGATTTTTAAAGATGATGTGTATAATATATACAAGAATAGTGATAGTGTTCATATAGTGATAGTGCAAAATGACCAAATAACAATAAATCTAGATTAATAGGTATGCGATGCTTAACGACAGCATTTACATTTACAAACAAATCTTTACGCTGCTTTGTATACAAAGAACATTCTAAAAGATAATGTCATGAATTTTCACAAGGACAACCACAAGTACAAGAAGCATCTGATCTTATATTAATTTAATATAAATCGTAATTAAGCGGACTTGTATTGTACCTCAGTTTTTTATGAATAATGTTAAGCTTTCTTGTGCCAGACCAAAAGAATGACGGGGCTGCATTTATCTTACTTTGAATTTTTCAATTTAAACCCTCCTAAAGAGTCTATGTTTCGTATTTCTATGGGCACATTGTTCCACATTCGTATAGTAGATGAAAAAAAGATGATAAGGAAAGTTTCAATCTCGTAAATGGAAGGGAGAGGTTTAAAGAGTTACGAAGGTTATAAGAGGATTTTTGACCAACATATGTAGGTAGTAATTCCTGAAGGTATGATGGTGCAATATTGTGAAGAATCTAATAAAATAAGCAAAGTTTTCTTTTTCTTCTTCGTTCAGTTAGGGTTTCCCAACCAGTTTCAAAATACAAATGATCACGAGAAGCATAATTTGGAAGTCCTGTCACTATAAGAGCTGCTTCTAACTGTACCTGTTCTAAAATGTTACAGCCATCAAGATACATATTGTCTAGCTTGTCTCTGGTCGAGAACAATACAGCTTGTGGTGAGGTGAGGTGAAATGGGGTTTAACGTCGTACTTAAGAATATTACCCTCATATGACGACATGCATGCGTGTGTATGCGTGGCTGCTTGTACTAGTCCATATTAGTACAAGCACGGCCGAAAACTATGAAATACACAATGCCATTTTAGAAAGTGGTCAAATGTAACATATGTTATGTTTTTATAACAAGCTTTACTAAGAAAGTGTAATCCCAAATATAACATATGTTACATTTGACCACTTTCTAAAATGGCATTGTGTATTTCATAGCTTTCGGCCGTGGGAGCCGTGCCAATTAACACTTATCAGAGGGGTACACAAAGTCCGCAGTCTAGACTACCAGTTGTCCGACTTCCATTTTTGTGGAAGCCGCGGTGGCTGAGCGGTGTACGCGTCTGAATTTGTGTGCTGGCGATTAGGTGCCTGACTCTGAGGGTGCGGGTTCGAATCCCGTATGAGACTCAACCCCAAAAAGTACTATAATCTGTACTTTACTAAGAAAGTGCAATCCCAAATATAACATATGGTATGGTGTAGTTCTTGACTGGGCTATGCCTAGGACGTCACTTCATCATCCAACTCATGCAGTTGACCCCTTGGTCACTGTGAATTCGCATGGGCATTCCATAGTGAAGGACGAAGTTCTTGTGGAATGCTTCTGCAGTGGTTGTGGCTGTAGTGTTCTTCAAGGGCACTGCTAAAGCATATCTCGTGAAATGATCGGTGATCACAAGTACATGTTGGAATCTTCCCTTTGAAATACCTATGGTGAGAAATTCCATGCAGACTAACTCAAATGGCTGTGATGTGGTGATGGAAACAAGAGGTGTGCAGACATTAGTTAGCGTTTTCCTCCTGAGACACCTGTCACAGTTCTTGATCCAATCAATTGTATCTGTTTGCATGCCTGACCAGAAAAACCTGTCACAAATTAAGGAGAGACGTCCAGGGAGACCAATATCATTATGGAGGCCTTGAAAGGCATCAGTGATGAAATTAGATGGTAACGCAAGCTACAGAATCCATGGTAATGTCTTCTCGGTGTTCCAGGTCTGTCAGTTGTGACTAGGTATCTGCATCCATGTTCTTTATTCCAGGTCTATAGTGGAAGTCGAAATCATAAGCAGAGAGAGAGAGAGATGCATGCCATCGGTAACCTGTAGCAACCAACTTGGCACTGGCGAGGACGTTGGTATCAGTCAGTACTGTAAATCTTGTCCCAAACATGTCATAATGGATCTCTTCACTGAGTGCCCACTTCAGCGCGAGGAGCTCCTCTATGAGCTGAAAAGTTGCTTTCCGACGTGCTTCCCTGCTCTTATAACTGATAACCCTCTTTGCCCCATCTTGTTCCTGGTACAACACTGCACGAAGTCCACACCCACTGGCATCTGTATGTAGCTCAAATGGTTTGCTGTAATGTGTACATGCAAGGATAGATGGTGAAGCTAGCAATGTTTTTAGCTGTACATGCCTGTTCTTGTTCCTGTTCCCATTTCCGTGGTTGATTGGGTGATTTCTTGGGCATCAGTGAGGATGATGGCTTGGCATTCTGGACAAAATTCTTCACAAATTTCCTATAGTATGCTGCGAATGCAATAGATCGGCGAACTTCTGAACCACTGGTATATGAACCTACGTAGGTATCGGCCAATTCTCTGTTCTTCATCATCTCGGGATCAGCTGAAATTCCTTTTTCAGAGACAACATGGCCAAGGAACTTGATTTTCTTTTTGCAGAACGAACATTCCTCTGGTGAATACTTTAGTCCTGTTTCTCTGCTTCGCTGAAGTATTTGGCTCAATCGGTCTAGATGTTCATCAACTGTTGATGAGAAGATGATGATGTCATCCAAGTATAAGAGATATATCTTTAGATGCAGGCTTTCAAAACACTCGTTCATGAGTCACTGGTAAGTCACAGGACTGTTGCACAATACCAAAGGTATGCGACTATACCCATAAAATCAGTAGACGCAGTTAGCTCCTTGTGTGGCTCTTATATTATTTGGTGGTAGCTGCTTTCGTGTTCATAGCACTATAGAACGTAGAAACTAAGAGGGCTTCAAACATCTTTTCTCAATCCAAGGGATAGAATAACTGGCCTTATTGGTACAGCTGGCGAAAGTCCATGCAATTTTTTCCACATGAAGAAGTTGATTGAGACGACCCTTCCTCGTACAATGCTAGTGGTATTCTTCGATATCACTGTTTGAATGACATGTCATCTGTAAGTTGGATCCGATGTCTGACCCAGTATGTGTGTCCCAAGTCAGTGTCTCCTGGGGAAAATACATACAAGTAGTCCTTAATAACTTGTTTTCCTCTGAAAGGGCGGTTTCGTTGAAATCCATAAGGTCCAAGACAGTGGCATCTTCAGATGAGCTCAAAGATGAAGAGGCGTTTTAACTTCACAACTTGCAGCACACATAGAAGGGCACGACTTGGAATAGACACAGAGCGAGTGGTGAGATTAGAGACGTGTACATCAACAAGCATCTTCTGTCAACTTCTATCATATGATACTAAGGTATATTCAATTTCAAGATTCCAAGGTCAAGTATACATGATCCTCATATATATAAGATCCGTGTCGTGTGATTATTTCAGAAACTTCTTCTTATATATGTACTACTGTACGCTCGGTATTCTCATCACTTTCTTTATATATATATATATATATATATATATATAACATAGATAAATAAAAACGGAATGCCTTTTTCTCCAACATGTTTCGTTCTCTACTCTTCAGGGAGATTGTAGCGGTTACAGTATGACGTCATTACATATATATTGTGACGTCACAATAGGGACAACATTCTAGAGCGACAAGGTCACAGCTTGCAATGGTTTAACATTGGTTTGAACTTGTCTATGAAGTAGTGTTCTTTTAAAATTCGTTTTACTTTGTCCGAATTTTGAACTTGATATAAAGGAAATATTGTAAATTTAACATCGTTTCCTTTCGCACAGACATCTAGATGTTCACTCAGTGGGATACATCGGGTTTCAGGACACTTTATTTGTTGTTTGTGGACACGAACCCGGGCTCTTAAATTTTCTGATTGACCAATATACTGTTCATTACAGCCTGTGCATGTTATGACATATATTATGTTTTTGAAGAGCAGTCAAAATTCTGTTTTGCATAGAGTTCTCCGTGTCTCGTGAAAGTTACAGAGTGTCCTTCAACAATATGTCGACACGTTCCACAGTTACCTCTAGACAAAAAATAAAATAAATTTGGCTTTAGTTAGTATCTTTTTAAGATTCTGATTTTGTCTTTTGCTATTTAT